GAGGGGGGGGGGGGGGGGCTGGTGTGTGTGTCAGAACTATGAAACATTAATTCATGGTGATCTAAATCATGCAAAAACACAGATCTGTGGTTCTCTATCTACCTCTTAAGTTGTTTGTTTTTTTGGTCCCTCTGTTGTTCTTCAGGCGGAAATGATGAAGCAGGCATTCTCCAGTCAGAGACAGCTCCTCATAACAGCCTCCTCCTCCCAGAAGCCCTCTGATGTGAGTTAAACACACCTGGGGGGACCAACTCCTACAAGGGCCTGCAATTAAACTTTTTTTGTATCTTTTTTTTTTGTTTTTTTGGGCACTGTAGGAAGTCATCCAAGTGAAGAAAAAGTTTTCAAAATCCAGAAATCTAACGTTTTATCATGCCAACTATGAAAACATGTCATCTTTTTTTTCCCCATCAGGCAGTCTTGACAACTCTCCTGCAGCCGGTGTCCAAAGCGATCCAGCAGGTGCAGGCTTTTCGCGAGCAGAACCGCACCTCGCCGCACTTCAACCACCTCTCCGCCGTCAGCGAGAGCGTGCCTGCCCTCGGATGGATCGCCATGGTGAGGCTTGAGATGGAGTGGGGGCTGGGCAGGAAAGAAAACTTTATAGCAGTGTGGTTTGTGTGTTACAGTGAGTGACTTGGTGTACATTTGTGCTTTTTGTGTTTGCGGGTGGATTAATGACTGTACAGTAGCCAGACACAAGCTGCTCTTTGATTTTGTCATCACTGTTGGGTGAGCGACAGTTTCTGTCACATGACTATCAGCAACAGAGCTTCACTGTTGCATTAACTTTTCATTGTTGTATTGATTCATGAATAATTCATCAGCTTTTCAAATGGCAAATAACACATGCACTCATTCTTTGTACGCCTACAAGTGCATCTCAAAAATCTCATCATAAATGTAGTACTTTTACCACGTTGCTACTTTTACATTTGATATTATATAAAATATTTGGTGAAAATGAAACTGACACAAACTGTTGTGTGCTACATGTGTGAAAATGAAACTCTGGACAAAGTCTGGACCTGATTCCTCTGACAGTCTGGAGTTCATGTGTGGAAACAGCTTATGCTAAGATGGTTGCCTCTAGCTCCATACTCTAACTCTTGGCAAGAGCCTTATTTATTTATTTATTTATTTGTGCACACACTGATGCAGCTTATTTCCCTTGCTTTCTGTATTCCAGGCTCCTAAACCATGCCCCTATGTTAAGGAGATGCAGGATGCCGCTATGTTCTACACCAACCGTGTGCTCAAGGAATACAAGGAGAAGTATGTACAGCTTTTGTTTCCCCACATTGTCTGGAGCAGTAAAGGTGGTCACACTAATTTCACTAATCCTTTTGCAATTTTTTTTTTTTTTTTAAATTGCATCATGTTTTTGAGATTTTAAAACATCT